ACGTTTCCTGGGATCACCATAGCATGGTACCCAAATTCTGTTCTGGAATTTCCAAAATTCTCTATCATCTTTCACAAATTCAGATATCATCCACCTAATCTTTCTTGTTTAACTTTATCCTCCTTCATTGCCTCACACTGAAATTCTCGCAATTCTTCCTGAATACTGGGTAGCAACTCAACTCGTAAAGCTATAACTTTGATAGTTCCACTTTTCTCTTGTTGACTTAACGCATCGGCCACAACGTTTTCTTTTCCTGGATGATACAAAATTTCACAATCATAATCACTTACCAATTCCAACCATCTTCTCTGACGCATATTCAGATCCTTCTGATGGAACAGATGTTGCAAGCTCTTATGATCTGTGAAGATTTGACATTTCGTTCCATACAAATARTGCCTCCATATCTTTAAAGCAAACACTACTGCCGCCAATTCCATATCGTGAGTAGGATACTGCCTTTCATGATCTTTTAACTGTCTAGAAGCATAAGCTATTACCTTTCCACATTGCATTAGTACACAATCCAAACCCATCTTTGACGCGTCACTAAAAACTACAAAATCTTCCATTCCATCTGGCAAAGATAGAATTGGTGCACTGCATAACTTATCTTTTAATATCTGAAAGGCCTGAGCTTGTGCTTCATCCGACTCATATTTCACATTCTTCTTGGTCAGCTTCGTTAATGGAGTAGCTATACGAGAAAAATCTTGTATAAATTTACGATAATAAACAACCAATCCAAGAAAACTTATAATTTCAGTTGGAGTCTTTGGGGCTTCCCATCTTTCAATGGCTTCAATCTTGAGAGGATCTACTTTAATACCTTCTTTTGAGACAACATGCCCCAAAAATTGCACTTCTCACAGCCAAAATTCATATTTTGACATCTTGGCATGCAATCTTTCTTGTTTCAGCAATTCCAGGAGTAATCTCAAATGATGAGCATGCTCTTCTTTCGACCGAGAATATATCAGAATATCATCAATAAAGATAATCACAAATTTATCGAGATAGGGACGACACACCCTATTCATCATGTCCATAAATGCTGCAGGTGCATTTGTGAGTCCAAACGGCATAACCAGAAATTCATAATGACCATAACGTGTACGGAATGCCGTTTTCGACACATCTTCATTCCGAATCTTCAATTGATGATAACCAGACCATAAATCAATTTTCGAAAAATAAGTAGCCCCAACCAATTTATCAAACAAATCATCAATTCTTGGGAGAGGATACTTATTTTTGATTGTCAGTTTATTCAACTCCCGGTAATCAATGCACATCCTCATTGATCCATCCTTCTTTTTCACAAAAARCACCGGCGCACCCCACGGGGAAGTACTTGGTCGGATAAAACTTTTATCCAACAATTCTTTCAATTGAGACATTAACTCCTTTAACTCAGGAGGAGCTAATCTATATGGTGCACGTGCATCGGGTGCTGCTCCAGGAAGTAATTCAATTTGGAATTCAATTGTTTGATCTAGAGGTAAACTTATCAAATCTTCTGGAAATACCTCAGGAAATTCTCTTACAATTGGGATATGCTCCATCTTTCCCTTTTTTTTCTTCATATCAATAGCATATGCAAGAAAACTAACACATCCATTCTGTACATACTTTCGAGCCTTTAAAACTGAAATAAGGCTAGAGTAACGATCCTGTCGATCCCCATAAATCACAACCTTTCCTTTTTCCGGTAAGTCTATGGATCATCTTCTCATCATAGATTATGTTAGCTTGGTTTTTAGCTAACCAATCCATGCCTACAATTATATCAAATTCCCTTAAAGGCAAAGAAAATAGTTGTATAGGCACCTCACATCCTTCTATACTTATAAAGCATTCATCTATTCTTTCCTTAACCAAAACTTCACTATCGTTTGCTGTTTCGACAATTAAATCCTCACTCAATGCTTTAGATTCTAATTGTGCACAGTTAACAAATGATGGTGACACAAAAGAATGATTTGCACCCAAATCAAATAAAACTTTGGCACATACTGGATTAACAAGGAATGTACCTGTTACCACTTCAGGGTGCTCTTCTGCCTCGCCTCTCGTCATCTGAAAGGCTCTCCCTTTTGCATTGGATTCTGCCTGTCTTATCCCTCCCCGTTCACTTGTATTAACACGATTATCCATTTGCCCACGACCTGTTGGCACATATCCAGATCCTCGACTCCCAGAAAATCCAGATCCCCGACTTCCATCAAAACCAGACCCTCGACCCTTTGCTTGCGGACAATCGGCATTTATATGTTGAGATGAATTACAAGTAAAACACCTCCGCGTCATCCGACAGTCTCGAGCTATATGTCCTGGTTCCTGACATTTAAAGCATACTCGAGATTCTGTATT